AGTTGCTGAGGCTGGATCTGAACTTGCAATCCTCTTGCCTCAGACTCCCAAGCTGCTGGGATTATAGGTGTGTACCACTGTGCCTGGGGTTACACATATTTTTTTAAATTTTATTTTTATATAGAGTTATGCATCACTTAATGGTGGTGATATATCATAGAATATGCTTATAAAAACCTGGATGGTGGTTTGTATAAGCCCATTCCACAGCTAGGCTATACTATATATACATTATTGTATATGTGGTTTGTCATTAACTGATATGTCATTACATGGTGCAAAATGGATTCTATCTTTCTTTCTTTCTATTTTATTGGGCTGTGTTGTCTGGGCATAGAGAAACTCTTTTTTAGGTTAGAAATCGATTGTTATTCAGTTTATGACCACTGATTGTTACTAAAACCATTTTGAAATATGGGGAACAGGGATGATTTGAAGATATATGAGATTAGCTTACATAGCATGAAATAATATTGACTCACACAGTGAAAAAGTGATTCCTTTTCCTATGGTCTTTCAGTCCTTCTGATACTATCAAGGACACAGAGTAGGGTTGGATCTGTTTAATGCTTCTCAACACTTCCTACTCTTTCTCTTTGCAAAGAGAAGGGAGCCTTGTATTCACAGCATTCACAGACAATAACCTATGCCTAGAATTTCATTACATTTTTGTTTTTGTTATACTCAGTTTTCTGTTTACCTGTCACTTAAATAAGTCATGATAACTTTGCATTTATAGCAGTGATGTATGCTTTCCTAAATAAATTTCTTTCAGTTAAAAAAGTGGTCTACTTAAAATATACTGAGGAAATAGTAGCACAGATGGTACACAGGGCAAAAATCCCAAAGATGATGAATGATTATCTAGTTTAGAAAACACTGGGATAGTGTGCAGATGCAGCATGCAAACGACTAAAAACAACCTGAAAACCACAACAGAGAACATTTCTGAAGAGAAACACGTGTGTGGTGGAAAAACCATTTACTTCATTGAATCCTAAGACCCTGAGCAGTGGTGGGGGTTGGAGGAAGGAGAGATGGCAATTACTGCCACGATGAAACTGCAAGTGGGTAGGTTAAAGGGACAAGGCAAGGCAAGTTGGCACTTTCTGGAGGAACAATCCACACAAATCCAGAATGACTATCAATGTCTCATTCAGAGAAGGATGGTCCTCTTATACATAGAGGTACAAAAAATAAAATGTCAACTTTCTGAATACGAGAGATTGATGGATCAGTCTTGCCAAGCTTCATTTTCAGGTCATTATAATCTATAATTATATTCCAAAATTAAATTTTTTTTCCAGTACTGGGACTCAAATTCAGGGCCTCTGTTACTGACCTACATTATACCCCAGCCCCCAAATTTAAATTTATAATTTTATTCTTTTGCTTCATTTAAATTACCTGAAATCACTAATTCCCAATTTGGGGAGAGTCAATTTTTTTTCAGACTTTCTGCATATCAGAGATTGTTGAATGTTCCACTGGGGAGTGGGGGTACTAGCTCTCCCTCTCCTCACCCCCCCACCCCCTGGCACCCCGGCCCTGTTAAAGTCACTGTCTCATGACCACTGGAGGACACAGGTGAGGAAAAGACTCAGAACTACCTCTTCAGTAAGAGACACAGTGTAACTGTCTCCCAGACATCATGGGCCAGGGGTATGGGTGGCACAGAGAGCTGAGGCCTGTGTAGTACCTTTCAAGACCATGAAATATGGGTGGAAGTTAAGGCTTAGGAAAAATTGTTCTCAGCACCATGGTAATTTGTAAAATGGCTAAGCAATGATTCTATAGCATCTGGATAAAGGATACAGAAATAAGGCAAGTAACTGCAAGAGCACAAGTCCTTCCACTTAAATCAGTGCAGGATCTTCAAAAACTTCAAAAAGAGGTACATCAGAACAATACCCCATAGCTCTGGTCAGAAAACATCCCTCAGCAATGGATGTTTTAATTTAAGTAGCTTCAGAAAAGGGATTGCTTCCTTGAACAAGTTTTTATTTATTAATGACAAAGATATGGTTTGGTGCCTCAGGGAATGCCTCCTAGAACTTAAAAAGTGAGTTTTCTTTCCCTCCCTTCCTTCCTCCGTCTCTTCACCCCTCTCTCTCATTTCCTCTCCCTTCTTTCCTTTCCCCCAACCTCCTAATTTCTGAGTTCTTGCATACTTCTCTGGCCAACGTCCCTCAAGGTTATATGTGTTTTATTGGACATCACTGGTTTTCAAACTTTTTTCTCTAAAACCTCATGACCATCCTGGGGGAAAGCTGGCAGGGCAAGACCCCCGTACATCTGATGGCAGCCTTTGTAGTTCAATATGATAGTTCAAATCCTGTCTCCACCGTTTACAAGCTGAGTGACACGAGTGTGTGTGTGTGTGTGCGCGCGCCTCAATGACCCCATTTTATAAATGAGGATAATAAAATCACCTACTTACTTGGGTTTTGTGAGGACTCAATGGGTAAACTGATGCAAAGTGCTGAGAACAGGTCCCCACATAAATAAGCACAGCACAACCATTAGCTTTACATATTCGACTTCTCCCATAGTCTTTCCTTTGACGGAAGAGTTCTACTGCCCCCAAAAGATTAAAAAAAAATCACTTTGCTGCTGTCACAGATGGTTGTAGTTCTTGTTTAAATGAGAACATCATAGCATCTAACCCACATTTTTCATTAGTTTTCTCTTCCCCGTCTCAGAAAGTCTTCATTGTTCAGAACACAGTACCTTGTCYCCGTTATTCTCAAGGTCACATGCTCCTTGCTGTCTTTATCCAATCACTCTTTGTGATTCAATGGTTTCCCTCAGAGTATACTCAATAGCATCATGACATAAGAAAGCACCTAATTGAACCTTCTCTTTTACTCTGAACAAAAGTTGAAATCTTCCAAATAAAGGATCTCACCCTGTTTCTTGAGGAAAGAATGAAGAGAGGAGGGTTTCCTGACTCCTATYCCATGGCTTGTTCTCTGACAGTCCTTCTCTCAACAGGTGGTGTAGTTTCSCTCAACATGATTCTAAGTTCCTTTGCATTCTCAGAGCCACATCTCTCTCCAAGGACTCTTGAAATTCTGCCACTGATAACTTTTGCTCTGGTCTTCCTMCCACCAGTGGACAACCTATGGCCACCATATTCATTTATTCACTCATTCATATGAGCTTTGTTTGAGCTTCTAAACAGTTTCAGTTCCTCTGCTGGGTTTGAGGAATTCAGAGTGACAGGGTCACTGTGTTAGAGGAATTCATTTCTACACAGGTAGGTATGCGAATAAAGATGAGTCACAGGAGCCAAGCATAGTGGCAYACACCTGTAATCCCAGCAACTCTGGAGGCTGAGGCAGGATGATWGCAAGTTCAAAGCCAGCCTCAGCAACTCTTAGTGAGGCCCTAAGCAACTTAGTGAGATCTGGTCTCAAAATAAAAAATTWAAAAAGCTGGGGTGTGGCTCAGTGGTCAAGTGCCCCTGGGCTTATTCCCCAAAAGAAAAAGTCATAGGAAAGCACACAGTATATAAGGACTAGGGTTATATTCATGCACAGAACATTGAGAAGGAGGGTTGTTTACCCAGCCTAGGCATCATGGTCAGGAGAAGCTTCTTAAAGGAAMTGACTCCAAATCTAAATAGACACAAGCCAGACAAAGAAAGGGGGAAGGCACTTCAGGTGGGGGATAGAATGTGGGAGGGGGAGCAAAGGGGACTGGTGTAAGCAGAGAACTTTGGGGGATATGTTAGAAGTTGTGCTCAGTAGGAGTGGGAAGTCAGATAAATTAGAAGCAGAGAGGTTTGACATACTGGGCCAGATCTTACAGTGTGAACAGAATAATTTTATTCTAGAAGCTGTACAGAACCAATGTAGCAGTTTCATCAAGAAGATGAGAACTTAATTTATTCTGTAATGGCATCATGGAGAATGAAGAAGAGCTTAGAGGTTATTGCACTAATTAATCCAGGTGATATAAGAAAGTAGGATCTCTTCAAGCACAGAAATATGCATGTACCAAGGCTACAACATTCACTATCAACTGTTGAGTGTTCCTATGAGCTGAATTCTTGAGAACTGTACAACTGTTTTTCAGCCATCTACTTTTTTTTTAAGTAGTCTGTATTTTCTTTCTTTAACTAGGTAACCAGTCCAGATTGTTTGATCATTCTTTCTTTTCTTTCTGTTCTTTTTTTTTTAAATCAATTAAAAAGCCCTTTTACCTTAGTGTTGACTACAGTTATCCTTTCAATAATCATTAATCTAAATTTCTGTTAAGAAACATTGTGTGTGTGGACCTGAGTGTGTGTGCATGTGTCTGTATGAGTGATTTTAGTTGCCACCAAATTTCTAACTTAATCTTCAGATAAAAAAAAAAACATGGTTCATGAAATTTCATTGCTTTACACTTCTACCATGTCTATCAAAAAGAGGAGTTCTAGATGCACTCCTTGGTGGGCAGTTCACCATTAAGGAATTATATATATTGGGTGAAGGGTACATTTTTAAATGGGTTCCTGATTAATTTTTTGACAACTATTTGATAAATCAGCAGAACTAAGACAATTTCTTATCTAGAAAAACTAAAAAGAGAATTTTTTTTGCAATTTTTGTAACCCAAGATAAAATTTACAAAGTTTATTCTTGAATTGCTTTTAATCTTAGTAATATTGGAAGTGAAACCAAGATTCAGTCAGGGATAGGAATAGGTGAAGTGCATAAAGGTAGCATTTTAGAAAGAACACCTCAATGAGTCATTTCGTACCAGAGTTTTGTTACCTTTTCTTTTGTTAAAACACGAGGGTGTCAGGAATGATAACTTTCCAAGTGTGACTTGATGACATTTTTACTTAGGGACAGATACATGCGAGAGCACACACACACACACACACACACACACACAATATACCAATCTACTTTGGCCAGTTTTCAAGCTGTTTCGTGCACTTCCAAGTGTCCACCTTTCCAGGTGTCTTTGGCCTCTGCATCCTACCCTTTCCTCTCCCGTGTACTCACAGAGTCTGCGTACTGGGCGGTAGGCTGGGGATGCGGTGAATATCCTTGCAGGTGACTTTGAAGTCGTCCTCCTGGTGGCACTCGCAGGGTGGAGATGGACACCCCCTGCCCCCCAGACTCCTGGGCAGGGAGAGCAGCAATACCAGCTGCAGCAGGGACTCCAGCCTCATTTTTCCACCGGTCCCCAAGGCTATGTCTTCATCCTGAGCTACCGTCTTATTCTCAGTCCTTTGCGCCTCCGATTCCCCCAGGCAGAGGGAGATCAGGGAGCTGGAGGGGTGGGARGAGGGAGGACTCCAAGAGGCTGTGACCTCACCACCGCAGGGGAGGCTGGAGAGGGAGGAGAGGCACTCAAGTGCTCAGCTTCCCTAGGCAACTCTCTACCCAAACAAGCCTACTTGTTTCATTTTTTTTTGGGGGGGGGCTTGAGCCACGCAGCCCGCTCCGTCTGTTCCCAGGCACCGGCGCGGGCTATTCCCTCTGTTTTCTAACCCACCCCAACTCGTTCCTTCCTATTATTTCTCTTCAAAGCCTCCTTTAGAAACCATTCTCCCTACTTTTTCTGTAAAATGCAAAACACCACCTTTCTCCGTGCCCAGGACCCACCCGCACGCACTTTAGCCCGGGAAAGCCAGCTTGGATTGGACGGTGCTGCTGAACTTCAACTTCGCTGCTGAGAGTCTGGGGCTGGCCCACCGCCCAGGCCAGCCCCGGTGCAGCCCAAGCGGGCGCGCGACCGCCCTGGCGGACCTTTGATCTTCGAGGCCGCCMGACTCTAGCACCCACCCCGATCGCTCCGCGCCAGTGGCCCTCTCCCGCAGGAGTCGCCGCCAGCATCCTCCAGGAGGCGACCATCTCTTCCCCGAAACCTCGCTACTCCTCCAGGCGAGTCAGGAACCGGGCTCTGGGGCCATCTGCTGGGGAGAACCGGGAAAGACAGAAACCCTTCCTGGTACCCCAAATGGATGGCACTCCTCCAGCCTCGGGATACATATTTGAGGCTGGCTGGAAATCTGGAAATTCTGGTCTTCCTAGAAATGTTATTACTTCATACCCCACCCCCTCCAAGGGGGCAAAAGGAATACGTATGTGGTACACCATTATCTATCTACTCATCGTTCTTCACACATTAGCCAAAAAAGACTAATTACGAAATTAACCAGATTGTGCCAATTTCCTTCTTAAAAGTCTTTAATTGCTTAGCTAATTTCTGTTGGTGCAAAAGGAATGTCAACTCCTTACATACTGCATGATTCCTTTTATAAGAAATTGCTTTTACTTATCTTGTATAGATCATTTACATCTGATATCATTACTAATATTAGGCTTGAAGTACATGATCTTGGTGTTCATTTTATATTTTCCTACTTTAATTTCATTCCCCCCTGCTTTTTTTTTTTAACAAAAAGCATCGTTCTGGATTAATCCAGAAATTTTTATGATTCCATTGTCTTCTTGGCTGACTTAGCCATTACTTTGCTATTGCTTTAGGGGTTTTGTATGCATATTTGAGTATTCCTAGTCTGTGCTGTTATCACACCATTTTTGCATCATTTTAAAAGACTTTACAGCCCAATTGGTGGCGCACACCTATAATCCCAGTGGCTCTGGAAGCTGAGATGGGAAGATCCTGTGTTCAAAGCCAGCCTCTTCAACAGCAAGGCACTAAGCAACTCAGGAACACCCTGTCTCTAAATAAAATACAAAAAAAAAAAAAAAAAAAAAGGTGTGTGTGTGGGTGACTGGGGATGTGGCTCAGTGGTTGAATGCCCCTGAGTTCAAGCCCTGGGACCCTCCTCCTCCAAGAAAAAAGGATGTTACAAAGTATGCTTCCATTTATTCTTTCCTCCCTGAACTTTAAGTCTTATTTTACTTTATGTATACATAGGCTATAAACCCCACAATACAATGTTTATTATGATGTCTGTCCATACTTGGCCCTACTATGAATGGCTAACATTTGTTTTTTTGTTTGTTTGTTATTCTGATGGGAACGTAAATCTGGTCTCTGTTTTTCCATCTTTGATAGAAATAGAAGTGGTGTGCTAAAATCTATACCATTTTAAACCAAGATTTAGACAGCATAAATTGGCTTAGTAGATCATAATGTAAGTAAAATATCCTATGACGAACAGTTTCAATTCAGTAAATTGGAACAAGCTTTCAGGATAACATGTTCTTATAGCCTGTTCAACAAATGGCTATGATGATCATAAAGGCAATTTTCTTACATAACTTTTACACCAGAGCAAATAAACACAAGTTGAGATGATGAATCAGCTTAAATGAAGAGCAAAGTGTTTGTACTCAGATCCATTAAACACACAAAATATCCTTTTAAATGTAACAAATGAATGAGAAGGGTTATGGAATGCTAGGTTTTCCATTTTTGTTGAAGAGCCATTAACACAGTCCATATATTAGAAAGTGGTGTACATCTGAATGGCGATGTTATAAAACTGATGCTCATGAATGTGATAACTGCTTGTAAATAGTAAGTGTATGACTGAAAAGAATATTATGGGATCAACCATCGTTCTACAGAATGAATAGCTAAAGATGACAACTGAATAGTGGTCAATACCATAGATGCAACATCTTATGTTTTATTTTGACTCTTAGTTTTCAGTTAGCTTTAAAACTTATAAGAGTCAACAACTACTTATGATCCTTTTCTGCTGGTGTTAAGAGAGTAAGATTTCACCACTGCTTCATTCATTCCCACCAAATCAAAATTTTGGGTATTTCCTTTTTAGTTTACCTACAGTGTTTTACGTGGCGTCTTCTTTCTTATAATTATCTTGTGATAGTACAAGGGGGCTTTGCCATCTGTGGTGGCAGGATGAAACCAAGCAAAGTCTAATGTTACAGGTGATCATCAATTAGGCTGGGACATCCAGGAAACATGGAGGTTGCTTTTGAAGACACATCATCCCCTGATGCTATTGGGTGGGACAGCAAGGTACAAGCTATGAATATTGCTTGCTTGGACATGGACTTCTCTGGACATAGACTATTCCCCTACACTTTTGTGTTTATGTCCCAAACTCCTAGCTCCCCCTGCCATTTAAGGACCTTCTTATTCTCTGTGTCATATCACATTTCTAATCATAAAACTTTTGTTTTGGAGGATTGAGCTTGTTCATGATACTTTCTTTGATGGCATATGCCTTGACTCTTTTGTGAGAGCAGAGCTGGTTTCATGGGTTTGTGACTTTAGCAATCTCACAGGGCCTTGTAAATATTTGAGGAAAAATAAATATTTGAAGACAAACTTGATATTTATTTTATGCCACATGGAAATAATCTGTCTGCCGTTGCCATTTCACAGTGGTATGAGTTTGCAAGGTACTGGCGAATCACAACTTCTGACTCTTCTGCTTGAAATACCACTGCTTCTATCAACCACCGAAACAGTTTTTCTTTTCTTTCTTTTTTTTCTGGTACCAGTGACTGAACCCAGGGGCACTTAAACACTGAACTACACCCCTAGCCTGTGTGTGTGTGTGTGTGTTTTAAGAGACAGGGTTTTGCTGAGTTGCTTAGGGCCTTGCTAAATTGCTGAGGCTGGCTTTGACCTTTCTATCCTCCTGCCTCAGCCTCCCGAGCCAATAGGATTACAGGCATGCACCACTATGCCTGGTAGCAGTTTCTTACATGACATCTGTGTTCCCTTCTCCATTCTTACCCATTCAAAAAGAGTTGAGTTATGATGATCATGTCAATGCTTTCAGACTAGCTCCATTCCAGAAACTCTGTATTTTTATTTCATTTTTGCAGTGCTGGAGATTGAACCCAGAACATTGCAGCAGATAGCCAAGCACTATACCACTGAACAACAACCCCAGTTCCCTAGAACATTTTACTGATTCACCCTTCCAGGTGTTTAATGTTTGGTGTGACTCAAAGGTATTTCTGATGAGAATGCTCAAGAAACTAGATGTGGAATTACTACCTTGGATCTTGGAGTGGATGGCTTCACCAGTGTAATCTTAGCCAAGGGTCTTTGGGTTTTAATCAACAAAACTAACTTAAGTTTTGAAAGGGAAATAATCACAAGCTGTAAGATATATTCTTTCTTCAAAACATCTAGAACAGAATCAAGTCCCCATGTTCATGGAACTGACACAGTAGGGTATCATAGTATATAGGTCCAAGAACACTCACTGTGAGCACTGGGCTGCATGCTTCACATACTTTATTTTGTCCCCCCCATCAATTCTGCTCATGAGATATCATTCTTTTTTAAAAAAATATTTTTCTTAGTGGCAGATGGACACAATACCTTTATTTTATTTATTTTTATGTGGTGCTGAGGATCAAACCTCGTGCCTCACATGTGCTAGCAAAGCGTTCTACCACTGAGCCACAGGCACAGCCACAGCCCATGAGAYATCATTCTTATTCACATTTGGCAAAAGGAGAAATGAAGGCACAGATTAAGTCGATTGACTGAGGTCACATAGCTAATAGGTATTACAGTTAAGATTTGAATCTAAGTGGTCTGGGCCTAAAATCATTTAACTCCTCCAGTTTCCTTTAGGCAATCATGGAACACAAGTATTTAAAGAAGCACAGTTTACTCTTTATGCTTTACTCCCTCCCACCCTCCACCCCCACCAACCCCCCACAGATTAGCTTTTCCTGCTGATTCTTGAACATAGATGAAGATGGCCACATCTCTATGACAGGCTCAGCTCTTATCTGTGCATCAAGACTATTCAGGCAATAAATTGGAAACTTGATCCAATTTTAAATTCTCAAAGCATAAAGAGCCTGATAGGCTCAAATTATTTCAGGTGTGTAACTCCTTGTCTTATCAGCCATAGTCACAGAGTTTTTTATACTATGAAAAGGGTTTTGAGTGCCCCATGCTGTAGTAGAATCATTTCCAGTTAAAGGGGCAATGTGGATATATAAAAAATATCTGCCACATCTACAACTGTAGATGATCACAAGCTGTAAGGTGTATTCTTTCTTCTAAACACCTAGAACAGAATGTGTAGTTGTGTAGTTGGAAGGTGATTCATGACACTAATCCTGAATAGATACCATTTGGGCAAAGTTATGTGGACTATATTTTGTCCCCATAAAATTTATTTGTTGAAACCCTAATATGTCTGAATTTAGAGATAGGCCTTTTAAGAAGGTAATTAAGGATAAATAAACTTACAAGAGAGGAGCTCTAATTAAATATAACTGGTGTTCTTGTAAGACAGGAAAGATAATAGGCCTGTCCATGCTCAAACAAGAAACTGCCATTTGAGGATACAGAGAAGATTGATGTCTGCAAGTCAAGAGGAGAGGCCTCAGGAGAACTCTTACCTGCTGACATTTTGATCTTGGATTTGTAGATCATAAATATGGTTTCTTTTTTATTTTAAATTTGTTGTTTAAGCCACACTTCTGTGGTATTTCGTTATGGCAGCCCTAGAAAACTAACATTTCATATAATCTCTCTGTGCTCCTGTTTACCTGGTTTGGAAAGGAAGAATATTGCAAATGGTAATTGCTGTGAGGTTTTACAACTCTAAATTCAGGTGACAGCTTGAGTGTGTTGTTGGGGATGGATAAACGTATGTCTACCTTATTAAAAATAATTAATATGCTTTGGGGGCTATAAGACAATTTTGGGTAAAATCTATTTTGTTAAGAAGGAGAGAGATTCTCTTATCTGGCTTCACTGGGTTTTTATTTTCTAGATGTCACATTTGTCAATTGAGAATACACCAAATGACAAATAGCTGCTATGAATTTAATAATGCATTTAATGTCCCTTTGTCATGATGAACTCAAATCTGATTTTTTACCCTTTGGTACCTGTTGTCTCCTGTGACTTTTGCTTTTTTTGTTTGTTGTTGTTGGGAGGCGGGTAACTGGAGATTGAAATGAGGGGCACTTGACCACTGAGCCACATCACCAGCACTATTTTGTATTTTATTAGAGACAGGTTCTCATTGAGTTGCTTAGGACCTCACTAAATTGCTGAGGCTGGCTTTGAACTCATGATCCTTCTGCCTCAGCCTCCTGAGCTGCTGGGATTACAGGCATGTGTCACTGTATCTGGCTGAGTTTTGCTTTATTCGGCTAATATCATTTTCAAATATGGTCTTCAGAATTGAATCCAATTTTCTGAACATGGTTGGACCAGTGAAGAGAGGATATTGACAATCCATTTTCATTAATGCAGCTCAAGTTTACATTAACTTTTTTGATAGTCATTTTTTGGGGAGTCCATCAGAATTTCCAGAAAATTTTCTATAGAAACAGAGGCAGTGTTTTATTTCCTACCTTTGTAATTCGTATATTAGTATACTGTTTCCCTTACTTGGCTCAGCAACTCAAAAAGAGAAAGGGCTATGCAGTTTATCTCCTCATTATCCCTGTATCTTCATTGCTTAACACATCTAGATACTAGAAAGACCCAACATACACTTGCCAAATTAAATGAATGAATGTAATTGTTTTGAAAAATTAACATGTTATGAAAACTTATGCCTCTGAAAGCATATAGGGCAAATTTATAGTCGTTCTGAGTTATCTGAATTAATTTCTGTGACAGGTGGAGTGTATTCTAGAGCAAAAATTCTGAGCAAGCATGGTGAAGATAGATGCAAATACATAGAGGTAGGTCTTTAGAAGAATTTTATGTTCAAACTTGGTATGGAATATGAAATACTTTATATTTTAGCGTTGCAAGAAAAAATATCTGGACAATTTTATTGTATCCAATTTGAGTAGTAATTATTTAAGATTCTGGGTGTGGTGGGGGTTGGGAGAGGGAGAAGGAGAAGTGAGGAAAGGACAAGAAGCCACAAGATCCCTTTGTTTGTTTGAAGGGCTAATGGAGGAGACCAATTGAGAAATGGATCTATTTATACTATGAAAAGGGTTTTGAGTGCCCCATGCTGTAGTAGAATCATTTCCAGTTAAAGGGGCAATGTGGGTATATAAAAAATATCTGCCACATCTACAACTGTTACAATTGTTACAATAGGGAACAGGCATCATGCAAGGTGATCTTGCTCTTCTTTAGGTAACTAAGAAAACTTTAACAGATAAAGTAAAATTTATCCTCTTGTCCCTCTAGGAGGGGACAGGTCAGTGCCCTTTTTGGCAGAGTAGAAGGAAAAGTCCATCCATGTGGCTAATTTGATTTTGACTTCTTCTTTGCTTTCCAAAGCTGTTGTTTGTTTGTTTTGTTGTTGCTGTTGTTGTTGAGGTTGCCCCCTTCCCCATGACTGGAACTGACTTCCTGAGTGTAAAGCATTTCTTTCATGATTTAGAATGAGAGAGGACATGACACCCAGATCTGAAGKTCACAGCAGTAGTGAACTGTCAGCCTCACACTCTGGGTTTGCTATGATCTTAGGTGAGTCACCTCTTTCTAGGCTTAACGGGTTTGACTAGATAATCTCTGTTCCCTCCAAAAATTTTTGAGCCTTTTTAACAAGACACAGGGCCTTGGTATTAAGGGGATTTTTACATCTCACTGCTGGAAACTATCCTTCCCTGTTCTTCAAGGAGTAAAATTACAGTAAGAGCCAAAACAGCCGTCTACACGAGCTTCTGGCCCTTTAAAAGAAAAAAAAAATTAGAACAGGGCAAGAGGGCGCGGCCGAAGCGCTCTGGAGCCTACTAAGCCCGCTTCTTCCGGAAAGTCTCCGAAGACTTGTCGCTTAGCATCCTGGGACTTGCAGTTCCTTTGGKGTCGCTCTCCCTTGGTATCTCCCTGCTCCTGAGAAGGTATGGACTACAACTCCCAGAGGGCCAAGCGACAGCCCCGCGTCCTGTGCTCTCGCTGCGGCTGGGCGGCTAGTTCAAGTTGCCATAGCTGCGAGTCTGGGGATAGCAGAGTCAGTTGCGCCGCAGCGTTTGGTCAGTTACACCTTCTGGTTCACTGGTAGCCGCGGGAGCCGGGTGGGTCCTCGGCGATGATCCGGCATTAAGGACCTGGAATCATCTCTGTCTCAGGTACCTGCCCCACTGCCCCCTTGTCCTTTCTCTTCCACTTCCCTATCTTATCCTAGACTTTTTAGGGCCCACTTCCCCTCGTTTCAGGGGTGGGCTAACCAGGGCTGCGCGGAGATCTGGAGTGGCGCCGTGGGTGTGTGAAGTGTGTGGCGAGATCGGGGGAGATGGCTGTCCTCACCCTTCCTTCGGCATGGGCGTCCACAGTCAGATACTGACCAAGTTACCCAGTGACTCTGGGCGATGTTGTCCTCCTTTCGGGAGCAGCTGGCCCTGTCACTGGTCTCTGACTCTTTAGCTGCACAGGAGATTATAGGAGATTGGACTCTGTAGGTTTTCCAGAGGATCATCTGGCATTTGCTGGCCTCCTAGGATATAACCTGATATATATATATATATATATATATATATTATATATATAATATATATATATATATTATATATATATTTTTTTATATATATAACCTGATATATATATATATATTTTTTTTTTTTTGGGGGGGGTACGTTTTCTGTAGTCACAGAAAGTTTGCTACACTCAGGAACACTGTATAGGAACACCTATTTTTTTTTTTTTTTTTTTCCGTGACAACGTAGGAGTTGCCCCAACCTCAGCTGTTAGCAGTCTCTTATTTGGATTGTTTCTTAGGGATATCGGACCTTGAGTACTGCATCCTTTATTGGTTTGATGAACCTAGTGTCTCACGCAGACGTCCTGTAAAACCAGACAATTACAATGTTGCAAGTGCTCAGTATTTATTACTTATTGTTATTGATTATACAGAACAGTGTCTAATAGAAATAAAATATGAACCACACAGGTAATTAAAAATTTTGTAATACCCACATTAAAAAAGTACAAAGAAACTGGTGAAATTATTTTTAACAATTTACTTGGCACAGTATATAAAAATGTATCCAACATAGTAAATATAAAACCTACTGAGATATTTTACATCTTTTTTTTTTTTTTTAAAGTACTAAGTCTCTAAATCTTGTATTTTTTTTTTTTTTTTTTTTTTTTGTGTGTGTGTGTGAGCTGGGCTTGAACCCAGGGCCTTATGAATGTGAGACCAGCACTCTACCAAATGAGCTAAATCCTTAGCCCTATGAAGCATGTTTTACATTTATAGCACATGTCAATTTGAACTGGCCAAATTTGTAGAGCTCAGTAACCATATRTGGCTAGTTACTGCTGTATTGGACAGCAGGAGGAGAAGATTAAAACTTTGACAGTTTTACACTGGCCCAGAGAAATTTTGTTGTGCTTATTATTATTATTGCACCTGTATCCTCTTATGTCCTTCTGCCTTCGTATAATGGGAAATTTGAAGTATCTTTCAACAGTTTTTTTTTTTTTTTAAAGGACTCTTGTTTTACGTGGATAGCTACAGTTCTCTCTGGTGATAATCTGTGGATTCTTAAGAGACTATTTCCAAAACAGTAACAAAGAATTGAAAATATTTCTGTTTAACTCTTTTCTACAGCCAAAGACATTTCACTTTTATTTACTTTTACTTACTTTTGTGCAATCCTATGTGTGAAAAGAACTGGGCTATGTATAAAATATTCTTTTAAAGAGGCTTAGACTGGCTTGGGAATATAATTGGGCCATCAATTCAGAAATAACGTGTTAATTCCTTAACCTGATTGATTTTACCAACAATAGACATGCCCAAGGACTTTTGACTACACTTGGGCTACACTTCACACTGCAGCATGGTCAAGTAAGCTCAAGGATGACTAGGCACAGGCAGAAGCCATCTGTAAGGAGTATGCTGGCAGGGCACTTGCATATGAAGGATTCCAGTGAAGTCACTTGGGCATTTGGATGACCCTAGGAGCATTTTTTCTGTTCTATGATATGCTATAATCCACACATAAGGAAGTTGGCCAACTTTTCATATTTTTTTTTAAATTAAGAATTTTAAAGTTGTAGGTATGTGTTATCCCTTGTTTTCTTTATCTGTAGGTGGCTTGGGGAAAATACAAGGGCACCCAAAGATCATCTACTGACTAAACCTTTTGCCCTGAACTTCATGAAGAAATGATAGGAGGCAGACATATGTGCCTTAGAAGAGCACTGAGCTCAGAGGAGAGCAACAAGAAGTTTTGGGGGTGTGCTTTGTAAGTATGCATTCTCCCTTAGTTTCATTTCTGAGATAACAAGTTATTGCAGATTGAGTGAGGGAAAAAAACAAACAAACAAACAATGCCAACAAGTGGACTTTTGGCGGGGGGCAAGAAGCTCCTTTCTAATATGTGGTATATAAATAAAATAAGATARTTTTCATGCAGAGTTACAACAATTTAAGTGAGCAAAATATGTGATGATATCTTTACAACTCTTACAAAGCAACAGTATTGCAACTATTTCTATTAGACAAATATTTGAATAAATTATTTTATCCAAGGCACTGTGTTATGCATCTTTTTTCAGGCATATTTCTTTTATTATAGTTATCTTTATTTTGCAAAAGTGTCAGTTGAAGCTCAGSTTATTTGGTTTGCTTGGGATTCTGGAGCCAAAAGAGTGGTCTTTATTTCCAAATCTTTTGACTCTAAATACCAGTTCTGCCCACTTCACAGGTGCTCCATTGTTCTTTGTAATTGCCCTCTAATAGGATTTGATTTGTACTCAGCATTTTTGGGTTATGTGTACCATTTATAGCAGAGTTTACTGTTAAAATTTGTCACTTAGCCTGGCAGAGTGGTGCATGCTTGTCATCCCAGTGGCTTGGGAGGCTGAGATGGAAAAATCTCCAGTTCAAAAGCAACTCAGTGAGACCTTGTCTCTTTAAAAAAATACAAAATAGGGCTGAGGATGTGGCTCAGTGGTTGAGTGCTCCTGAGTTCAATCCCCAGTACCCCCCCAACCCCCACTTGCCCAGCCAAAAAAAAAAAAAAAAAGTCTCTTTAAATGTTTAAAGCCTTCTATTATTTTTCTTAGTTTTTTCAAAATATAATGGCTCTTACATTATTATTGAAGAGACAGGTATGATTTATGGTTTACATAAAATGAGCATATTCAACATGAATTGTCATTGACAATCAAGGGTATGATGTTAAAATTAAATTTTGCAACAGATTTAAAGTTATAGATGTTTTTAGTATTTTTGTGTTGCATTTTGATAAGAGGCACTTAAGCATACAGAAGAGACACAAAGATCGCTGGTGTTCAAGATTCTTAGGATTAAAGAATTTTAGAGCTGGAGGGGCCTAACTGGATAATGTAGTCCAGAAATTCTCAACTGTGTAGTCTTGACACATTTTGAAACAATCTAAAAATACCTTAGAGTGGATTCACTATTATCTCTGTAATAATTTCACTTGGTTGATTCTGATATGAAATGATTTTAGTATAGTCATATCATTTCATAGCATTTTTTTTTCTTGTAACAATGTATTATTACATATCCACACTTAAAATCCTACCTTTTCTCTTGTAATGGCTACATAGCAATCTGATGTATCCCTTATCAGCTAATTTGTATTTTTTCTTATAAGTATAAATAATTCTGCAGTGAAATTCTTATACATATCTACACTTAAGATGTATAAATATATTTCCTTTTGTTTTCCTAGGATGACATTTATAGAAGTAGAATTTGAAAGTCAAAACGTATGCATATTACTTACTTTTATTTATATTTCGAAGTTCTCCAGAAGAGCAGTTCTAATTTTTATAGCTAATACTCATACAAATATGCCCTTATGAACCCCTGATTAAAAAAAAGAATGTAATTATATTATTTTAATTTGCAATTCTTTAGTGAAACTAAGTATGTTTATACATTTGTTAGTGCTATTTGTATCCTGTGAATTGCCTGTTTATGTATCCTTTGTGCCTTTTTCTACCAGACTATTCTTCTTGTACTTTTAAAAAGCTGATTAATCTTTTGGTTCTCATTTGTGAATATTTTTCTGAAATTTTCCTTTAGTTTTAAAATCTTGTTTCTGGTGTTTTATTATCAGTAATTAYGGATGATTTTAAGAGGCTTATCAGGCCATTTTCAGATGTATATAYCTCTGATAAAGGCCTGATAAATTCAAATAACTTTAACATAGATCTTATACAATGCTGATACTTAAAGTGTTTGGAAAATGGAAATATTTGTGGTTACATGAATCCATTTAGCTAATGAACATTTAAAAATCTTCTCTCTGCTTAGCTTTGTCAGGAACCAAGTGCTGGTGAATGAATATGCCCATGAGTGAATGGATGAGTGAATTAGTGATAAGCCTGATGCTGAATACCCTTAATTAATTGTCCACACCCCACTTGATAGAGAACTAGGACTTTGGGTTATTTTCCCCTCTTTCGGCAGGAAGCAGTTTGGAGATGTTGTTGCCGATTTTTCTATAGAAATGGAATGTAGAAATTGACAGTGGGGAAATGTAAAAGTGGTCCACTTTACGCTTTGAATATCCCTTGCTGCTGTTCCATTGTAATTTATTTTTAAAATGAATATGTTTCTTTCTCTTTCTCTAATCTCTCCTCTTCCCTAATCCCAGGGGAAACAGGACTACCTTTCTTCCCCATTTTAGGAAGATTTGTCTGTCCCACTTTAGGGATGAAGTAATCCAGACTTTGGGGTTGTTACCTATAGATCTCAATAAYGACTGTCTTCCAAATTAACAAGTGAATTACAACTCCAACAAAGAGCACTTGGAATATAGCCTTTAAATCTCATCTTTGAAAGCTCCTTGTTCTTGCCAACAGGTAGAATCACAGCAGTGGGACAGGAGTCCCCTGTGTTTCCCCTTCACTAGCAAATCAATAAAACTTCTTTTTCCTTTTTCTTTAAAAAAAAAAAAAAAAGCTAGCATAGACCCTGGTTTGTAGTTAGAATCCTTCTTACTGAATTTACACTTAAATTTATTTTATTATCCTGTCTGATTAATCTGGAAACAAATTTCAAACTGCTAGGCTTTATAAACAGCAAGTACTAATTAAAATAATAAAGAAATTCTTTTGGAAAATGGCCTAGATTAATTATCTCAAGTCTTCAAACAATAGGGACTGAGTTGTAAAATAGCATAAATATGAATACTTAACAATATCTRTTATAGGATAAATGAGGTACACAATTCAAATTCATTTTAACATATACTAAAACTTATTAGTAACTGAATCAAACCTAAGATTTACTTGAGTAATTGTTAATCATTTTAATTTACAATAGTCATTTTTAGCTTCTTGCATTCCTCAATTATTTTTTTTAATATTTTATTGTTTAGTTATATTTGGACACAATACCTTTATTTTGTTTATTTATTTTTATGTGGTGCTGAGGATTTAACCCAGGGCCTTGCACGTGCTAGGCGAGCGCTCTTCCTCTGAGCCACAACCCCAGCACCTCCTCAATTATTCTTTATCTGTACTATAAAACTCTAAATTCAAATTACCTAGGCTCTTCCCCATCTGGATCCATTGTCTGTGTTGTTTCCATGTACCAGTTGCTGCTCACACACAAACCTATTTTAGTCATTTTAAAGTCTTCACTCTCCCACCATCAAGCCCTTTTTTCTTTCTACCATTCATAAAATTGACTATTCATTCTTTAAAATAATAATCACAGGGACTGGGTCTGTAACTCATGATGTATTTGCCTAGCATGCATRAGGACCTGGTTTCAATTCCTACTACCACAGGGAAAAAAAAATAGAAAAAAGAAAAAAAATAGTTATAATAATTCACTTTTTCTACAGTATTTCCCTTTCCTCAGAAAAACATAGCTCAGGCTAAACCACGCAAAGGCCAGATTGTGTTAGAATAAAACATCTTTCTCTTAGACGGGCTTATACCTATAGGTAGTCCAAGATCTTTCTTCTCAAGAGACTTCTGGTAAGATCAACATAGCATGGTCCATGTCCTAAAGAGCCAGTAGCAGATACAAAATAAGAAACACAGAAAGACAACCAGAGAGGATCCCTGAAATCATGGTTGACAGATGGAAACCTTTAAAACAGACAGACCACACATACAAATTTTTTCCACTTACTTACCTCTGACAGACCAACTCCAACTGCAAGATTGTATAATAATTCAGAAAGCTATTCAAAAGCTAGATCATTACAGTAAAACATTATCTTAGACAGGCTTATACCTATAGGTGGCTCTATCTTCAACTTACTTTGCCTCTGACAGACCAACTACAATTGCAAGATTGTATAAAAAAGAAACAGAGACAACCAGAGAGGAGCCCTACAACCATGGATGACAGATGTAAACCTTTAAAATAAACCAGTCAGGATCTTTCCCAAAAGACTACCTATAGTATCAGTGCAGTATTGGCCATGTCTTAAAAGAGGCAGTAACAGATACAAACAAAAACACAGACAGACAACCAGAGGAAATTCCCAAACCCAAGGTCAACAAACAGATGAGAACCTAGGACAGACCAGAAGGAAGTAAATATCCCTAGGTTCTGGAGTCCTGTTTAACCATGACTCTTAGACCAATGACACCACAGATGTCCCCACAAAGAAGGACCAGGTGTGTGGACTCAAGGGTCTTGCATATACAGCAAGGGATTTACCAGATGTCCAAGGGTGTTGCAACTTTACTGAGTTCAGTTTCCTTTTTCTCAAAGTGGATCACCATGGAGCAATCTGTACCATTCAGGGAGAGAAGGCAGGAGTTCCCCAAAGCAAAAGGAGTTTGGCAGCTGCTGGGGTATTCCCTCAGGTCCCTTTGCTCATCAGAATAGCTCCTCTGGTTCAACCCGAGACAAACTCAACCTGTTTTCTTACTCTCTTGAAGTTGGCTCTCAACAATTTAGTTGGCTAGCTACTTTGCATCCTCAGCTTAGAAGTGAGGTTGCTTGGAGAATCAAGCCTGCCCAAGAAAGCTGGAGCAGGGGCTGCTTTCAGGTCCCATCTGGGTGTGGTGCTAAATTTGTCACTGAAATCTTGGTCCTTGTCCCTGAAGTCAATCCAGTAAAGACAACAGGTTTTGAGAAAAAGGAAAAAGAAGTTTTATTGCTTTGGTAGCAAAGGAGAAACACAGGTGACTCCTGTCCCAGAGGCTGTAATTCTTGCTGTTGTCTTACTGTAACAGAATATCTGGGACTGTGTGATTTATAAAGGAAAGAATTTTATCTGGGTTACAATCCCAGTGTCTA